ACACACACTTGGATGTCCTTATATTACTGATTAGCAGCAAATCTATTGAAGCTGGGAGGATTTTAACAGTAACTTGCTTTTCACCATTTCCACATGTGTAAATCCTCCCCGCCACCCCCTAGGACACAAGCCAGGTTCCTTTCTGCTGCTACTGACCTTCATTGTCTGTGTCCCCACACCAGCGCAGAGTGACAAAGCCAAATGTGCCTTCTCAGAAAGGCCAGCCTGCGGTTCGTGAAAGCTGGTGTGGCACCTCGTGCAGGCCCCGACAAAGGTGCACACCACACAAGCATCAGCGCTGTGCGCCCTGGCGCTGTGCACTAGAGCTTCAGCAGGCACGGGCTGCACCTTGCTGAAGTCTCCTCTACTGCAGGCCACCGTTTAAATGTGGTGGATGTGCAAGGAACGCCTAGAGACGCCCCTTGCTGTGCTTCTGAAAGGAGGTGGTGTTTTACCATCCTCTCTCAGCTTTTTGCGCTAAAAGAGGTTTTTGCAGGAAACGTGTTTTGTGGACTAGTTCTTGGTAAACCAGGTGGTGTTCATGTGTTTATCTTTCTTCTGTATGAACTACATGTCATGATGTGAAAAAGATGCGTGTTGACCCAGGCATACCCACTCCTTAAGATGACAACAGGATTTAGCAGAGCCCTAAAATTTAGAGGAGGTTTTATTTGCTGAAAGGCCAAAGGGAGATAAAAGAGAAGCCTGGGGGAGAGGAGAAGATGGATCTTTCAGTGCTTATCTTTCAGCCCACACAGCCAACGTTATCACATCGGTGCCCCGAATCTGCAAACCATTAGTCAGGGCCAGACTCTGCTGCCTTTGCTGGAGGCTAAAGCCAATGTGGATGTGTGGAAGTTTTGAACTCAAGCATCTAAAATAGGATGTTGTAAATAAGATATTGTGGAACAGGCTGCCTAAATCAGTTTTTATTCTTGTATGTAACTTCACCATTTTGAGAGAAATAACATTCCTCTCCTCGTCCATCTTCTCATGGGGGTGGCTTCCCCAGTAGAAACACCCCCAACCTCCCCAAGGAAGACTGTAATCACGTTCCTCCCAAAATTGTACAAGAGGAAGACTCTTTTGTCTCATCTTTTACATCTGTCTTACGATAAAGTCAGTCACCCCTTGATTAGTGAAAGTCTTTGGTCAGCTCTGACTGCAGAGTTGATCATGAGTGTCCCTGGCATCCGCTACCTCTGCTCTGTGGGTAGTGTCAGCAGATGTTTGATTAACTACAGAGATTTGAGCACCAAGGGGATTCAAGGTGGAGCATGAAGTAAATCATATCTCAGGCCCTTCATACCTCCTCTGTTCCACCCGCCAGCACAGGCTGGCTGCTGGCAGAATGGCAGTTCGAGGCCTTTGCTCGTGCAACGTGCACTGTAATTACTGCAAGGGTAATTGGGAAAAAAAGAGCTGCCTACTGCCGTACAATACAGCTTGTCACCTGCAACACGGGTTTTGTAAGGTTTGAGGACAAGAACAATTCAGAAGATGCACTGTAAGGCCAAGGTGCAAAGAAGGCTGTTAGTTCAAATAAAATTCTGGAGATTGGCCTTGGCACAGTGGTGTTGTTCATGGGAGGCATCTTGTGCTGCTCATCTTTCGGGTACTGATGCTATAACAGAGGGCTGAGGGCTTCTTTCTCCTTGGTTCTGGCAAAAAAAGCAGAGGTTCTTGCTTAGGAATCCATGCTTATCTGCAGCTGTTTGCCCCCTGCAGCTCCCCGGGAGTATGGTCAGCCGTTTCTGGGTAGTGTTTTCTGTTTGCACTCTTTTTAAATGAAAACAGTGATTTTTGGTTGTGGACAAAAGAAGAACTGTGCTGGCTTAGAGCGTTAATTTAGGTGGATTTTACTATACTTCTAAGGAGCATAAACCATTATTTGGTGTCCTCCCTTTTCTCTAAATAAAAATGTATGCGCTTTCCTTTAAAAATGTATTTTGTGTGTGAGTCACATAGTGGTAACATTAAATGCGGTATAAAGATGGTAATAAAACTGGTTGTAACATTTATATATTTTTCATGACCAAAGTGCTTTGCAGTTGGAGATGCTATAAATGCATGCTTGCCCCTGGAGGAAGCGACACACTTACACTGCAAAAGATGACAGCCACATGACCCCAGGACCCGTTCGATCCCTCCGGGCACAGGAGGGGCTGGCAGATCTCTAGGACAAAACGGGGGCTGGGGCATCTGCCCCCGCCATGGGTAGGTTGGGTGGCTGTTGCTGAGGAAGAGCCTGTGGTGGACAGGGTGGAAAATACTGCTGGGATGGGGAGGTGACTCCACGCAGAAGCATCAGGTGATGCAGCAGAAGAGGAAGTGCCTGTCTCGGGTCTCCTCCTGTTGTGTCTCAGCTGCTTCCCCCTCTCCTTTCAGCAGCAGAGGCCTCTCTGCTTTGCTGATGGTGTTCAGTATCACCCAACCTGCTCAGAAACCTTGGGTTGTCTGGGTGTGCAGCGTACTCTGGGAGGAAAAGCAGGTAAAAACAGAGGAGGAAAAGGGAAGCACAGAGAAAATGCTGCTATTGACATTTTCCCCAGGATTCTCCAGTGGTTTTTTGTCCACCTGATCTGTTCTATCAGGATGAAGCAAATTCCTGACATGCTGACTGCCCTCTAGCAGTATCTTCTAGAACAGCCACATCTTGCACAACTCCATGACCTTTTACGGGGATTTTTCTTTTGCATGGGGAGCATGGCTATTCTCCCTCCCTGCCTTGCAGCAGAGGGCCCTGTGCCTTCCGTGGAAGCTGGTGGGATCAGGGACCACATGCCAGATCTGGCCGATCCTGTCACCTCGTCTTATTCGTACTGAACCCCTGTGTGGCCACAGAAGGCGAGAAAGAGATGAAGCGCTTAGTGTGGCTAATCCTGGCAGCAGCGCCCTAATGAAAGTCATGCACCAGTTCTATGGAAACCACTAGAGCATGTGAACATCACCAAACAGTCAGCCATGGAAAGGTCTCTAAATTGCTCTCCATTAGAGGGCATTCAACATTTGCACAGGCACAAATCTGCAAAGTGATTTTTTTTTTTTTTCAAATGTCTACTGACTTTTACAGAATACGCACAATGAATATTAAATAAAGGGCTGATGTTCCTAAGTCAGTGCCCATTACTGCACTTCAGATGCCATTATGTGGCGTGACTTTTAAAAACTTTTTTTTTAAAGGTCATGCTGTTTATGCTGCATAATATATAATACAATTTCACTGTAAATTAGAAACATACTTTACAGCCTGCTGCTGTGTTTCATGGAGGTGAACAAAATTTGAAATCACGGGTCTCCTCCTTGTGGGGAAGCACTTGTGGGAAGTATTTAATATCACCATACTCGGGGGCTTTATGAACTAGTAATGAGCTACGAAGGCCTCTCTAGAACACATTGCTGCATCTCCTGCCTGCTCTTTAGCCTCTCTAGAACATTTTCCCATTCTTGACACTGTTAAATTTGATTTTACTTTACTGTTATAGGAAGTTTTGGGTAAACTGTAACATTAACCAACCCACAGCTGTTTTCTTTAGCTACAGAGGACATGCTCAGCCCTGACAGGTTTCTCTCCCAGTAGATAAGAAGAGTTGACTTTCTGTATGTTGAAATGGTTGCAGGCCTGTTCAGACACCATATACACTAACTCTCTGGAAGGAGAGTATTCTTAAGTATTCTACTGCTTTATAATAGAGCAACTTTCAAAAATGCTGTCCTCTTTCTTTCTATGTAAACTACAGCATAGCAACTGGACTTTGAGGGACATGCAGCCTGATTCCAAAATTCCCCCGTGACAGCTCTTCAAGGAGCCAGGATTAAAGGTAAGCAAATGCGTTAAAGCTGCGGATTTTAGACCCTTATTTAAAAAACTTCAGGTCATGCATTGCCTCAGAAGGCAGAATACACAAAAAGGAGAGTAGCCATGGGGCACTGGGGCACAGAACCAGACTGCATAAAAACACTGAAAGGTATTTTGGTCTCACTTCACTGTGAAACACGTAATATGGTTGAAAATGAATGGGAAGACTATTGAGAAAATACACTTTCTGATGCCAGTGCGATGGAGATGCCAAGTAAAGGCATTAAGCAAATAAACAGGGTTTCAGAGAGGTGTTAAGAGATGCAGGAACACTAACACAAGGAGGAAATTAAGAAGTGGATTTCTTCCATCTAAGGGTAGAAGCTGTAAGCCTCACGTGAAATGGAAATTACATGCTTTTTGAGAAATATGGAAAATAATATGATTTCACATTCACAAGGTCTCTTACCAGAGACTGGTATATTCTAAGAATGGTATTTGTATTAAAGGGACAGGCCAGGCTGCAAATGGAGGACTGTGTTATTAAGTAAGCACTTGCTACCAAACAGGTCTGCGGGCCAACAGCTGCTGCTCGATGGCGCAGGCACAGGGACTCTGGGGGTCGCAGAAGCCGAGGGGCAGCACTGAGCAGTGTCTCTGAAGCCAATTACGTCCAGTCATAATGAACTTTACTGCAAGGGTAGACCTAAACTGAAGTACTGTCCTAATATAGCCTTCTTGGAAGATATTCCTGCTCCGTGTATTAGGTATACAATTTGCCAGAATACTTGTGCATTATTACTGAGTTAGCAAAAGACAATGTTAATTTCTGCAGGACAGATTTTCTATTGTAAAGCCATTTTTTGTGTTTAAATATACTATCAACATGGTCTGTAACATATTAAAAATACCTTGGGAAAAGCAGAAGAAAAAAAACATTTCACACACAGGCACAGGTTAGAGAATTAAACCAACTCTGTTTCTTTGATTTCTGCGCTAGAAGAGATAGATAACAGATTATTTTCAACTGCCAACCAATACATAGAAACCTGGTCAAAATTTCAGAAGGACAAAATATTTTATAGGTAAAAACTCTACGGTATTTTTGTAATTAAGTTCTTGGTCAACACATCCGAAGGCATATTTAACGTGACAGATTACTGAGAATGCCCCTAGTTATTTGGTGCTGATTAATTTCATGCAATTATTCTATTTTCCACTGGATGCTGTTAAAATACAGGACAAAATCTTTAAAGGTAAGCAATCAAGAAAAACCCATATTACCATGGACTACCAGGGTGAGCATCACCTCGCAAACATAAGAGAAGAACAGACACAAAGTTCTCATTTCTACTGTCCAGGACTGCCACTTATGCAGTCCACCCAATGATCTTATACATCAGTGCTCTCAGAAGCCTGGCTTCATAGGTAACTGTATTTTTCCCACTGTGCATCCTCTTCTCTTCAAGGGGTTGCTCAATGACAGCTGGGATGTTTCTTCCATACAGCTCACACTGCTTCAGAAACTGAATGCACTCTTGAATAACGCTGTCACGGAGCATGATCATATGCTTGGACATGTTCTCCAGCAAGGACAGGAAACACCGTTTGGCATAATACCATGTATCAGTGCTCAGTTTTTTGTTATATGGCTCCAGGCTTTTAATGACCCTTGAAATACCGAAGTCATAGTTTCCCTTCACACAGTAGAGGGTACCAATGACTAGATTGACTATGCAAAGATGGTAGATATTTTTTTCAGGATTGTCATAGGACAGCTGCTCTTCTCCCTTCTCGATCTTCCTCATCAGTTCCTCTGCATCTTCATTCTGGCTTGTCAGGATGTAGGAAACACAGAGGTTAGCTAACACAATGGCACTGACATGGAGAATGTTGTCATAGTGCTTTTTAACTATTGGCTCATAAAAGCTAATGGCTTCTTTATACTTGCTATCCTGCATGAAGAGCACGTGAGCCACATTGAGCTTCCACACTTCATGTTCGTTACAGAACTCCACCGATTTGCGGAAAATCTTTTCTACCATTGTGTAGTTCTTCATGTCCCAGTAGATCTTTGCCTGGGCCATCAAGACAGGTACATATTTATCCAGAGTCTCATCATACTCATTAACTGCCTTTTTTACAGCTTCATCATCCCAATTTTGCCTAGCTTCCTGTACCTGCTTTGTGAGTTTTCTCAGCTGCTCGGTCAGTGTCCCTGCTGAATCATCTAGCTTGTGGAAAGCCTCCTCAGGGGCAGTTTGACAAGTAATAATGGCATCCAAGAAGTTGTACAAGTAAGGTGTGAGCAGTTTGTAGGTCAGATGGGCATTCTCTGCCAGCACATCAGCTGCCAGGTCGTAGTACTGATGCTTGCAGTAGAGGAGTAGCAAGTTTCCAAAAGTTTCTGGTGGACAGGGGTTCTGCAGCAGAAGAAACTGCAGTTTCTCAAACCCTTCGGTAGGCTGGCTGTCCATGTTCATTAGCGCTTGGTTGTGCAGCGTGACTGGATCCAACTCCTCTTCAGCCCTCGGCGGCATATCCGTGAGCGCCTCCTGGGCCGCTTTCAGGTTGTGCAGCTGGTACTCAATGGCTGCCTTGAGGTTGAAGGCCTCCACCAGGGCCGTGCGGTGCAGAAGCAGAGTGTTGCCTACACTGCGGACATCAATGCCTTCAGTGGTCATGCCCACACTGAGCTCTGGGTGCTGGTGGATGCCACGCTCTATGATATCGGAGATATGCTTGAGGGCAGGGGCGTACTGCTTGGCTGCGTAGCAGCACAGTGCCATGTTGTAGGACAGCTCAGGGCAGTAACCCAACACTTGCATGGCACTGGCAAACTTGCTGCTGGCCTCTTCATGCCGCCCCTGCCGGTACAGCAGGCAGCCCAGGTTGATCTCGGCATCAGCCCGTTCTGAGGGGTCCTCAGCTGCTCCAGGGCCACCCTCTGCAGCAGTGGCGA